GGGGGGGGGGGGGGCTGACACAGACGCAGTCGACATCTTCCGAGAGACCGAAGCGGGGAAGCTAATTCACGCGCATTGCCCCGGCGGCGCGTCATTGTCGCCTGAGCCCCACATCCCCCTGGATAGATGTCTCCGTCTGGGGATGCGGCCACAAACATGTGCGCAGACCGTTCTGTGGGCAGAGGCCCGCGGGTACGCCTGGGGGTGCCTACGGAGACTTTTTCACGCCGGCCGCCCTCCATGCGCACAGAGGCTCTTCGGCCCCCCCCCCCCTCCCCCCCCCCGAGACCCCCTCGCCCCGCTCCTCTGGGGGACCACACCGTAATCCTCTGATCGACATGCTCGTTTCAAATGGATCCAGTTCTGTGATACCAGAAGAGGGAGCAGAACATCCGGCCCGCGGGGAGGGAAAGTAGTAATGTATTTCGGACGTGTGGGCGCACACGCACGCACACACACACGCGCGCGTCTGGTGCATGGTCACCAGAGGTGTCTGGGGGTGTCTCGTCGAGAAGGGGGAGGAGGGAGGGAGGGAGGGAAAGAACGGCAGACGGCGCGGCAGAACAGGAAGGGGGCCGTGCCACAAGGGGGAAGGGGGAGGGGGGGGGGGGGGAACGAAAGAGGCGAAAGGATGGAATGTTCTCCAGTCCCGCGTGTGCGGGTGCGCGATCCCCCCGCCCCCCCTCCCCTCTGCATTGGGGGAAGGCCCGGGGATGTTGAGAGGAAGGGGGAGGGGGGGGGGGGAGAGCAGGGGCGAGAGAGTAGCAGGCATGCGTGCATGTTGATGTCATGCTGCTTCCGCCCTCCGGGCCTCCTGGCTGCTGTCGTGCAACATGCATACGCGTACGCTGCCCCCTTGTGTGCACTTTGCTGTCCCCGCGGTGCAGCATATGCCTGACTCCTTTCCCCGATCAGGGCGTGGCCAAGTTCTCCATGATGGTGGTGGTGAAGCGGTACACCTCGTTGAGGAGGTACTGCTCGTAGTAAGCATCATCGCCCTCCGAGGCCAGGGGCGGAGGCTGGATTTTCGACAGCTCGACGATCTTGTTGTAGATCCGCTGGTCGGAAGTGATCAGGTCCTTGATGTCGCTCTTGGAGGAGAATTCCGACAGGGTCCAGATGGCGATGTGAAGGGAAGAAGACTTCTCCGAGAGAAGGAGGTTCAGGAAGTATGTGGACACTTGGGGCCAGAGAACGCGAAGCTGGCGTTGGCAAGTGGCTGCGTCCAGTCGTCAGCGGGGTGGTGGGAGCGCGCCAGGGGAGGGGAGATATGTCAGCCATGGGCGCGGTGGTGTGTGCGTGTGGCGGTTGCGGGAAGAGGGGGAGGGGAGAGAGAGAGAGAGAGAGAAGCCGGACACAAGAAAGGGCAACCCATCAGAAAAAAAACACGGAAAAAAAACAGAGTAACGTACGGCTGGGTGCCAGGTTGCCGATGGCCGCGGCGCAGTTGGCCACCAGGTCCGGCTTGCCGGAAGACAGCATCTCTGTCAGCAGGAACAGGGTGCTGGTCTCAAGACCGGCCGAAGGCCCGGCCGGGCCCTTGGTGTGGGCCAGAAGCAGTTCCTCGCGCACGGTCCCGGTCAGCGAGAGGATGGCCACCGCGGCGGCGGTCTCACACAAAACCAGGTCCGGGATGTTGACACGCGGGGGGAGGAGGAAAATCCGCCGGAAGATCTCCACCCCACGGCTTTCCAGGAAGGCCTCGCGGTTCTGGTCCGAGGTGGAGATGTTCCGCAAACAGGACACGCAGTGGCAAATGAGATCGAAGAAGTTGCGAATGGCCCCGGTCACATTGGCCGGGTGGTCCTCCAGCTGGTCGAGGGTCTTCTCAATGAGGCCCAAGAGCAGGGGAATGCAGTTGCCGCGAACCAGCTCTGCCTCATTATCCGGGTGGATGGACAGGTTGCGCAGCAGGGCCACCGAGGCCAGGGTCAGCGTAGGGGTATCCTGCTGGAGGATCTTCAACAGGTAGGGGATGGCCCCGGCATTGGCAATCCGGAGCTGGTAGATGTCTGGAAACCGTTTTGCGAAGAGCGACACAGGCCAACGGGCAAGGGAGAACGCGTGAGTGAGTGGGGATCGTGCTGGTGTGCTTCCTCAGCCAGGCGGCAGATGAGCCGCCGCCCGCCAGGGGCGCATGGCACATGCCAACAATGAACCAGAGACAACCGCCCGAGGAGCAGGAACATACCATCTGACGCCAGGTTCAGCAGTGCCAGCGCCGCCTGGGTTTGGATGTGCGGCAGCGAGGGCTGCAGCGCGAAGGCCGACCCCTTGATGCAGTGCACCAGACCCGTCAGCAGGGGGTGGATGTACTGGAGCATCTCGCGACGGTAGTCCGGGATCACGGCCAGATTGGACAAGGCAGCCGAGGCATACTTCACGGTGTCCGGATCGTCGGAGGACAGGAGCGTGATGAAGACCGTAAGGCAGCCGGCCCGGATGAGGTGCTGGCAGTTGGGCCGATGCTGGGAAAGATTCAGCAGCGTGCCGCAGGCATTGCGCACCACCCGCACATCCGGGAAGGAGCACAGGGCCACCAGGAAGGGAAGGGCCCCACACTCGACGATGCGGGACTTGTTCTCGTCGGAGGAACTGAGATTGGTGAAGCAGCCACACACATTGCACAGGATGTCGGAGCTGGGGTTGATCAGGAGGTTGGTCAGCAGGCGCAGGCCCTGCAGCTCGACGATGAGGGTCTTGTTGCGGGCTGGCGGGAGATGGAGGGGGGAGGGGGGAGGGGGAATATGTCAGTGCCAATAAGGGCGGGCGGCAGATGGCAGCAAAGCAGCGCGCACAGTCGGTGGCGGCCAGGTTGCCGAGGGCGATGGTGGCCGGGCGCAGGACTTCCAGGTCATCGCAAGTGAGGAGGTTCATCAGGGGCTTAAGGGTCTCGCGGGTGGCACGGAAGCCCTCTGCGCGAAGGAAAGCACGAGACGGGAGGGAAAGTGGGCGGGGCCGGAGAGGGCCGGAGAGGAGACAAAGGGTAAGTAAAGGAAGGGAGAGGGGGGCGGCGCCGGACGAGGCCAGGAGCATGGCGGGGGGGGGGGGTATCAGGCGTGCACGTGCCCTCCTTGATCAAGTTGAGGTAGAAAAGAGAGGCCGAGCGCTTCATGCTCAGCTCGTTGGAATAACAGAGGACGCTGACGGCGGAAAGAGCCTGATCGAGAGTCACCTCGTCATGGTTGTTCATCATACTCGAGGAATATTGTGTCCCTGGAGGGAGGGAGGAGGGAGAGGGAAGAGGAGAGTCGGTGATGTCAGCACACAAGGAGCACGGTGGCATGGGGCTGGAGTGGAGGGGCCAGGGGGCGGGGCCCCGACGCACGTTGAGTGTAGCGAACCAGGGTCTGGGTGGCATGGCGCTCGTCGACATTGAGGAGGGGGGCCTCCTGATCGGAGTGTCCCTGCTGCGAGACTATCCGATGAGGAGAGAGGGAGAGAGAGAGAGAGAGAGAGAGGAAGTTGGGAGGGGGGGGGTCAGGGCGGGGGGAAGGGAGCAGGGCCTGAGGAAGCGCAGGATGGAGGGAGGGAAAGAAGGAAAGGCGAGGGCGTGGCTCGTACGGGAACTATTACAGCAACCCATGGCAGAGGCAGACGACTGCACACAGATGTGCGTACGCAAACGCAAAATTGTTCCCGGAGTAGAAAGATGCCCAGGAGCGAAAGGCAGAGGAGGAGAGGATGCAGAGGGTCAGAGAGAGAGGGAGGAGAATAGTGTGTCAACACTGACACAGACACAGACACACACACACACACACACACACACACACAGACAGACACACAGTGAGCGCTATGTCCAGCCCCCCTTTGACGCATGCGGCACGCTAGATTCGAGAGGCCAGGGGCCTTCAAGATCCGACGTAGGGGACAAACGGGACAAGATAGCAGACACACAGCAGCGACGTACGCTTCAAGGAGGCGGTCTCTTGATGCGGATGAGAGGGGGCCGGAGATGGGAGGCGGCGAGAGAGGGGCGGCGGGGGTGTGGGGAGGGAAAGGGGGGGGGGCGCGACAGGGGAGCGGGGGGGGAGGGAAGGGGCTGGAGAACAGTAACCCCGGACCTGAGGAGCGATGCCCAGGGCAGGCCGCTGAAAAGGTGCCAGATTCCGTGTTCCCGTGCATGCTCCTCTCCGCTTCACCTACGCCTCGCCTGTGCCACACAATGCCGCGCTGTGCTGCGTTGTGTTCTCGTTCGCTGCCCCCGGCTCCCCCCCCCCCCCCCCCCCCCCTGATTCCTCGGGCCTCTTGCACCACCCAGGGCGGGGCGCCCGGTGAAGAGTGTCCCAACTCTCCCGGCCCGCCACCAACGGGCCGGGAAGGGGGGGCGGGAGCGAGGGCGAGCGGCGGCTGCTTCCGGAAGGGGTGAGCCTGCCGCGGCTTGCCCTTCCCGGGGCGGGGGGGGCGGGGGGGAGACAACCGCACACCGGAGAGCCGAGATAGGTGGCCGACCCAGGGCCCACGAGCGGAAGCGTCCTCATTGTCCCCCCGGCTGTCCCGCTCCCCAATCCGCGCAGGCGGGGTTGAAAGCCTTTGGCGAAACAAAAAACAACATAGCCCGTGGGGGCCACCAACCGGGACCGCGGTCTGTGCCCAGCGAGGGGGGGGGCTGGGGCGGGGGACGCCAGCGCCCCAGCCGAAAAAAGCCCCTCCCTGGGCCAAGGGGCGGCGGCGGCGGCGGCGGCCACAGCGGCGGCAGGGGACAACGAGAGACTGAGCCCGGAAAAAGGGTCGTCGGCGGCGGGTGTCACGAAGGACTTTGTGGCCTTGGACCTGAGCGAATGTAAAGGCGAAAAAAAGCGAGGGAAACAGATCGGAAGAGCACACGTCTGACGAGAGACTGAGCCCGGAAAAAGGGTCGTCGGCGGCGGGTGTCACGAAGGACTTTGTGGCCTTGGACCTGAGCGAATGTAAAGGCGAAAAAAAGCGAGGGAAACTGGGGGGGGGGGGGACACTCTCTGGGTGGGGTATCCCGCCGCGCGGGGACCGAGCCCGGCCCAGAGGGGGCCCGGGAGGGCACTGTCTCTCGGGCGCGCTGGCAGACGAACGGACGAGAAAAGAGGTTGAACAGCGTCCCCCCCCCCCAGCGACCGGCCCCAGCAGGATGGGCGGAGAGCATGCGGGGCCAAAGGGGGGGGGGGGGGAATGCGCCCTCCCGCTGTGGTGTCACATTTGGCGTATCATGGGTTGGGAGTTGCCGGCGGGGTGGGTATGAAACCGCCTCCCTGCGCTGGCCGCCAGACGGGTGCAACTGTCGGCCAGACAGAGGAGGGTGAGGGGGGGGGGGGGGAGACGGCTCGGAGGGATGAGAAAAGAAGGGCCAACCCCACACCGACCGCGCAGGCCGCCCGCCAGGCACACGGCCCTCCCCGGCACTCGGCAATGGCGACGCCCTGTCTGCACCACCACCCCCCCCCCCTTCCCCCCGCGTGCGCAGGGGAAACAGCCACAGAGCCGGCTCGAACGGCCAGCCCTGGGGCCTGGCACGGCAGGAGCCAGGAAACCGCAAGGCCGCCCGGGGAGGCAGGCCGAAGGGGGCGAGGGCCGGCGCGGGGCCAGCGACCCGGGGCGTTCGCATTGCATCCACGTGACCGTGCCCAGGGTCGCGGGCTAACCCTCCCTCGGCTCGTCTGAGAGCAATATGCCGCCCACCCGCAGCTGGGGGAGGACGTGTCCGGGGCTCGTATGACCGAGGCCCCAAGAGACAGACACCGGGTGAGATTTTCTTGTTGTTCTCCCGGCCTCCGGCCGGGCCCGGGGGATCTCCCCCATCGGATTGATAGCCCATGGACTCTGGTATTTCGGTTAACGGCTCCAGCCCCCGGCCACAGGCCGAGCCCGCCCGGGGCCGGGGTGCCCCAACCTCGCGCCGCTTCCGGCCGGGCTGGGAACCTCCGGACGCAATAGGGCCGCCTGATCCACGCGTGTGGGGAACGGGGGGGGGGGGGGGGGGCGAGGCCGAAGCGGCGGGAGCACGCGGGGGCGCGGGGCGGGGGGCGCCAGACAAGCTCCACCGGGGACGTGAACATTTTGGTTTGTCAACCAGTGGGCACGGCCCCGGCCGAGATCCTCTTGGGGCGTCGCTCTTTGTCAGCATGCACCCCCCCGCAAGGGCCGGGGGGAACCATGTTCCGGATGGGGGGGGG